CTCAATCTAAGAACAAATGCAGCTATTTTAAGAAAAAATAACTTATCTAGATTTAGATTTTTCCAGTGAAGTAATTTCAGAAGTTTGAATTCTGAATATGACTTTTCCTTTAATATGAAATTGTTTATTGATATTCTTTCGTTAAATGACCTATTCTCTAATATTCAATGTTTTGGAGATCATAGTTTCTCAAATCCTTCCTGTCTTTAATTTGGATTTAATGTGAGCGGACCAACCCTTAACCAACCTGATCCCAGCTCTGTCATTTTAAAAGCAAATGCTGTGTTTTTGAGTTTAAACTTCTCTAAAGAAAACGCATCACGTTTACTTTCTTTTTGTGTGCGTTTACCAGAGAGAGGAGAGGTGTTTGTCTGTGGACAGAATCATAAAGGCCAGCTGGGACTCGCTCACTCTTCTGATGTCTTAACGCTTCAGCTCTGCCCTGTTTTGAATCACAAAGTCACAAATGTAGCCTGCGGCTGGGATTTTACTCTTCTCATCACTGGTGAGCAGTTAATATAACTCACAAACATCTTACTACAGGTATGCTTTATTTTTTTATGTTTGATGATAGATCTGGTTGCTCTGTTAACTCTATAGCCCCATACACACTGCCTTTCTGAAACTGAGCCAAGATTGATCGGAGCACGGTAACAGAGATACCTGTAGAGTTTAAATGGCCCACAAGACTGAACCGGACCCAAAAACAAACGACCGCGCTAGATATAACCGACCGCGCTAACATGGTACTAATCCATTAGTAGGGCTCGGCCACAGATCTCTGTTTATTCACCGGATTGCTGATTGCCCGAAAAAAATGAAGCCACCGTCCGCCATGTTGGTACTCCCCACTCCCACAGAGACATGCAGTAAAAATGCCTCCCTGTGCAGCATTAGGCTGCAAAAACAAGCAGTTTGCTGGCTTTAGGAAGACGTTAAGCAGTGTGATGAACCTCAACATTGTTTCCTGCGTCTGGAAGCCCTGATTAGACGATCGTTTGTTGTTTCCACTTCCCAAAAGCCGACTCTGTCAAGTAAATTCACCAAAGGCTTCCTTCTCCGCCTGACTCTCCACAAACTTCCTGAATGTTACAGGCGCCTCCATGTTTGTT